AGCAGTTGTGAACAGAATGGTGCAAAACAAAGAACTGCCTAAGTTGAGGGAAGGATTTTCTCAAATTAGTGAGGTTCAAACTATTCTTGACACATGCAGTAAACTTGGGCCATCAGATACCCTACCAAATGGTTGCAGTAGCCAGCAAACCTCAAATGCGAAAAGTTCAACAGGGTATTACGAAGTTTTATTAAGAAAGCAGAGGTCCCTTCATATGTAGCATCCAGTAAAAGTGGTATTCAAAGTACTGTGCTTTCTCATGTTATTGATACGAAGGATCACTTTGTAGGCAATGAAGAAGTTGAGGCAAGAGATGGGCGAGCAGCTCACGTCGGCCATAAACATCATGACTGTAACTAGACCTTTTGCCAGTAACAATAATATTATATTGACCATTGAAAATTCCTCTTAGGCTTCTCATACTCCTTTCCTTGAGCTAGACTGTTAGACTTGAACCATCTTTGGAACCAATTCCTCTTTTGTTAAAATCCTTCTTTTAGAATTATTATTAAAACGAAAAAAAAGGGCAAACCTTTTTCCTTAGATCAATCACAGAAATATAAAGGTGCAATTCCAACATTTGCACCAATTTGGATTTAATTATTCCAGCCTTCCCATTTTGTTTGGGCAGGCTTAGATTTTCATTGGCAATGCAATTTATAAGTTTCTTTAATATAAAGTAGACTAGAAATTTGCAAAGAGTAGAAATTACATGCATAGAAATTTAGCTTAACCTCTCAATATCATACCTTAGAGGTTGTTTAAAAGGCTTACAGATTAACAAACAAGAAATTGGATGTATGCATCTCTTATTTCTGTAACAACTATATCAGTACGTAGGGCTCCCTTTTGGTCACTACCGTGCTAGACTCCTAGATCCTTCTCTCTCGTGTCCTTGGAGCTCTCCGCCCACGATTTCTGCCTCTTTGATTGAGCCGAGGAAAAAACCTGAAAAGAACACTGTCGACACGTGTGTAATACCATATCCTCCATCTCTTCCAAAACAGAAGTGGTAAAATGACAATGGCTAAG